ATGGTGTCCCAAGGGGCAGTTAGGGGCAGGGGTCCCAGGAGGGGGTGATCAGGGGACAGGGAGCAGGGGGGGTTGGATGGGTTGGGGTTTCTGGGGGGGGCAGTCAGAGGGAGTAGATGGTGGGAGGGTAGAGCTACCCTCCCTCCCCGTGGAGTGTCCTATTTTTTTAATGTTAAAATATGGTATCCCTACTCACAGTGCAGCTCTCCATTCACAGCAGGCTGCAGCATGAGGTCTCAGCTTCCTCCCTCCCTCCCCGTCTTTCCTGTTGGTAGTGGCCAAGGGAATGCTGGGAAATGTAGTTCTTTTCCTGCTCCAGAGCTGGCTCTGTAGGCAGGGAGCTAACCAAGGAACTACAGCTCCCAGGACCCCCTGTTAGTTCTCTCAGCTCCCATGCTGGATCCCTGCTGCCCCTGCAAATGGGCTGCCCCAAGCACGTGCTTGCTTTGCTGGTGCCTAGAGCCACCCCTGTGCCCACCTCATGAGAATTTGCGCTTACAAAAAAAAAAAAGTCTAAATCTCAAAACTTTTCACGAACTAAAAAACTGACCCATTTTTGCTTTGACTTCAACTTGGTTCTGTGGTTGGTTGGTTTGTTTGTGCTATAAATTGACTTTGTTTTAAAACAAAGTTCAAATTTTCAGGTCTGAATAACTTGAATTTTTAAATAAAGTCTCAAATTAAAAAAAAGACATTTTGACACACACACAAAAGTCTTTTCCCACAAACACTTTTGGCCTCAATCTCACTGAATGGGCATTTTTTATATGAAAAATGTTTAACTGAAAAATTCCTGACCAGCCGTCGCCGCCACCACCCATCTGCCCAGAGTTCTGCTCATAGAAAGAAAGAGCAAGACGAGTCCTTCATTTTTGACTTTTGTTATATGAAGCCAAACTCCTGCATCTAATTGGCTACATCCCTGCTTTTTTTTAGCCTTTTTTATTTTAATGCAACAACATAATATGCCCACTCTTCCCCTGGTGCCTAAGGTTTTAAGAGGACATTAAGAAATGTGTGTACAATATTGGTGGCATTTAAAAAAATTATTATTTGCAAGAAAAAAATTCCCTACTTTTTAAGTGTAAAAGGGTACGTCTAGCCCACTATGACAGGTCTTTAAAACAGCCCCAGTCTAACTGCCTCAATTTGCCATTATTGATATTTTAACATTTTATGTAAACAACAAAACAACCACAACTACGATAATTTCATGAATAATTTGTGTAGAAAGCTTGATGAGGCACAATAAACTCTAGGGAAAAGCAAACTCAGAGGGCCTAATTCGGAGTTATGCTAAGGCCCAGTTAGGTTTATAGAGGGAAGAAATGGCCCAACGACTGTAGAGGTGATGTAACAGCTCTCCCCTAATCCTCCTCCCAGCCCTCTGGTGTGTGTGTCGGGGGGGAAAGGGGGGGGGAGGAAAGGGGGCACATCAGGAACATGTCTGGATAGCACAGCCCTATGGTCACTTTCTGCTTCCCATGGGCTGATGGAACAGAGTGCAAGTTAGAGCACTGTTGAGGATCTTTTTATACCAGGGGTTCAGCATGCTGCTGCTGCAAAACCCCAAAATATGGGGAGTATAAAAGTGGCTTAAAGGTACCATTACCCTCCCCACCCCGCTCCAAGTAACAGAGGGCTTTTCCACACAGCAAGTTAGTGCACAGAAAGCCAGGGTGTGAATCTACAACACACACCAGCTTGCTACGCTGCCTGTGTTTTTCCTATCTGCCTGCAAGCCAGGGTGTGATGCTACAGCCCTCCCTGCTTACAGTAAATTGTATGATTAAATAGAGAGAGAAAGTGGGGGAGGTAATAATAATAATAATAAGAAAAGATACTTCACCTACGTTGTGTCTCCAACACAGCTGCAACACTGTGATTAAATGGTCCTGAATCATGGGCCTTTTGTTCCAAAATTAAAGCAAAGGGATGTCATATGTTTTAAACACGTGCTTGAGCTGATTTTTTTAAAATCTAGTATTGATATAAGTAACAGCTACTGTAGTAATTGAAAGATTAGAGAAAAAGATTTATATTGCTTGAGACTCTGCATTTGATAGCAC